TCCAAGATTTAACTATGATTTAAAAATTGTGCTGCCACAAACATGGGTACACGTACATCACTGTGGTATGATGTTTTTAATTTTTCTTGGGCAATACCCACAAGATGAATAGCTGAATTGAATGGGATCTTTAATCCAAGATTTTTGAGGCATTTCCACACTGATTTCCACAGTGGTTGTACCAGTCCATACTCCCACCAACAATGGAGAAGGAATACATTTTCCCCGCAGCCCTGCCAGCCTTTCTAATTGGTTTATTTCTTGATGATAGCCATTCTTCCTGGGATGGGATAGAATCCCTTCCACCTCAGCAGCTCAGCATTTACCTAGCTGAATTCAATTTCTAATACCAAAAATATAAATAGCTTAACTAATATTACTTTAAAGGAAAGTAATTTTTTAAAAAAAATCAAACCTGGAATACATGAATGCATATGAACATTATAATTCATACAATTTTAGACTTACCAGGTTAATAAAAGCTCTCAGTAGCACGTTCATAAGCACCACTTTCCACGGCTCCTCGATATTATCTGGGATAGGCATATACACATAATATGCTACAAGAGCCCCCATAATTAAGAGGTACACTGACTTTCTTTCCATGCTGTGGTTTCTAAGCTTCTCTGTCCTGAGAAACCCAGAGTACAGTCTCCAGTAATGGTCTGAGTTGTCCACTTGAGGTGTCAGTATAGTACAGCCCCATCCAGGAGCTTTATTTATGTAGATTTCTCACTTCCTTCCAGACTGCCCAGAGCAATGTTAGCTGAACATCCAACAATTATCCTGTGAAATATAAAGCACAATATTCTGTGTGTCATCGGGACTTGTGCAATTCTGTCAGTTTCACATTCCTTGTCATCATCCTTCCTCTAAGCAACCATGCGTTGCATAATAATTAAAGAATAATTTTTTTATTCTTAAGACAATTATACATTCAAAGTTTACTTATTGCATAATCTTTGCTGTAAAACAATGCATTATGGAATAGAGAAAAACAGATGAACGTACTTTATAGTGTTGAGAAGGTAAAACATAAGGAAGCATTATGCTGGCCTGTATACGATTCAAATTATCATGCATTTCTGAGACAGAAATGTTGGCAGCAAGTTATGGTCATTCTTCAGGAAGGACTCTAAAAAGTATAATGCCCATAAAGAAGGCAACAATAGTGAGTATTTATTTATTATATATTCCATCAACCAGATTCTACACGAAGTGATTTGTGTATAATCTAAATAAATCTAAATATTAAATCTATGAGATCTACTTAAAGGTCTTCCACAAATGAATGATACAAGTTTTAACAAGATAAGTACTTGGTCAGAGTCCCATCACATAAGTGTTTCAGACAGGAAACTTAGAAGGCTAAAGAGCATATGGAAAACTTGGGAAAACTTTGTTTTTCTGTTTCTCTATGGTGCATGTCTTTGTGTTTGTGCTTATTTGTTTGGGTGTACATGTGTTCCAGAATGGAAACACAAAGAGGAAATAACCATCTACTTACATGGCCCAGGGTTGTTCTGGTGACACAGTAATGTATTTCCTACCACTATTTTTAACTTCCTTCCTGGCTAACACTCAGAACTTATCATTTGTTCAAGGAATTGATATTTGTATTTAATGGGAAATGAAAATGGAGGAGTGATCTAGGACTTGTGTACTCACTGCTGTGAGGCCAGTTCAGTGTTCAACTCTGATAAAGACATAAATTAAAAATGTGATTCTGTATGAGTTTTTAAAATTGACACTGTAGCACTGTCTGCAATTTTCTTTTTGTAGAACTACAGGTAATTTGTAAGGGAAGAGTTGTTCTTATTCGTATCACTGAAATCAAATGTAATGCTGCAAAGTACAAATCAGTATAATATAAAAAAACTTGTCAAGCATTTCATGAACTATATTTTAAAAAGTCCAAGAAAATGATGAAGCTTGACATGCACCTTTTACAGGCATTGTGATCAATATATATAGTGAATGTTTAAATGTGAAGAAATATTACAGTAAAGGCCGCATTGCTACTAGTCACCATCAGCATGCCGCCCTCTCTCCCAGCCCCTCCCTTCCTCCTGCCACCTTCTGATGCACATACTCTGTCCTGAGTGTCTACTAATGACATCAGGGCTGCCTGGATGTCCTGAATCATTTAACAATTTTTACCTTCCAAACCCATTTTGCCTTGGGAATGATTAAGAAATCACATGGCATCAGAGGTGAAGTAAGCTGGCATACAATCGAATTTGTTTCAAAGTTGTGTTCTGTTGCTTGGCACTGAACAGCCACATTGGCAGTGTTTTTCATCATAAGGCATGGACACTCACGAAAGAGGACTTGCAGAACTGCTCCCGAATCATGCTGCTGATTTCTGCTGGTCTATTTCTGCAGGAGCAGTTAATACTTAATTTCCTTTTCATCTCCTTTTTAATTTTTTGTAACTTTTCAAGACCAATTTTAAATATGCCTATAACTGGTAGTCTAAACAACTAATTTGAAGACAATATTTTGTAATATAACAACTATTGTTGAGTTCCTGTTATTTTGTTTAGTGAAATTCAGTGTCATTTCTAATGGTTTTTTTCCTGCTTTTTTTATTCTTTTTTTCCATGAAAACTGAAAAAAAAAAAATACTGCTCCTGGAAGTGGCCAAAATCAAAAGATATATGTGTTTGAAGCTATGGAAAATATGTTTGGGGTTACTTGAAAGGCAATATGACTTTCCCTATAATATTTATATTTTAATCTGTACATTTACAGCGTATTTTGATAATACCTTAGGCTTTGTTCACATTCACTTTGGGCATAAAAGGAAGAACATAATAACAACATTAAAAATGACTTAAAAACTCTGACCCAGTAACCTATATGTATTATGCCTGTTTGGTCACTGTTTTCTTTATTCAAATCTCCCGGCAGGATATTTACCTTATATAATATTTATACTCCTCATATAGAAATTTAAGCAAAATAATATTACTGTCAAAGTTAGGAAGTATTTTTTATTAAAGACTTGAAAATTATAAGAAAAAAAATATTTATACTCCTCAAGATGAGTCTGTTTCACATGGCATTAACTTTCTTTCATTGGCCCCTAGATATTTTTTTCTTTGTAAAGTTTGTATATTTTTTATTTTAAAGAGAAAAAAACAATAAAAATGACACAGAACTTTAAAAAATGATAGGAAATTAACAATGGTTATTTTATTACATATACTTAGATTACTAAGTATATGCATTTCAGACTGATCAAAAATATAAGCACTAACTGTTCCTTTCAATGAACTAATAGAAATTGCATGTCATTGTCTTTTACTGAAATGCCCAAGACATAAATACCTAAAACATATATAGTACATCAAGATTTCTGCTGGTTATCTGTTTACTTTTGAGGGTTTTTTGTGTTTATTAATTTTATTGAGAAACAAATAGCAATGTGACAGTTTCAAAACAGGTTAGTTGGACAGTTTCAATAATTAATACAATATATATTCTTGACTTATTAGTGGTTATTCATAGTATAAAATGCAGCCATGATATCCTGTCCAAACATTATTAATACAGATCTTTCTTCTCACTGAATTAAGAGAAAGTAGCTATATATATATATCCTATTTTATATATATTTCACTGCAAAATGGTCCTTCATCTATGTCCTCCTTTTTTGTTTAGTTTTTTTCAGAGATGAGTATTTCATGCATTTAAATATTGTAAATGTGTGAATTCAGTAAAATAAGCTAACATAGTCTAGTAGTACATAGCAGTAGTGGGTTATCCATAGGACTGGCAATGCCAGAAGTTGTTGACTTGAGCCTTTTACAGCTCAGCATATTAATATGGCTTTACTTTTTATATCTCATTTTTATGTTTTTCTGCTGGATGGCTAAGACCAAGATAAATCAAGAGCTATATAACAAGAAATGTAACTTCTGTATCTGACAAGGTCTGTCAAGTCCCCTCAGGATTTACCCTGAAACCCTATACTTCAGTTTGTAGATCCTTTGTCAGTGTCAGCCATGTGGATGAGTCACGGCCATTGCTTGACCAATTTGCTCTCTGTGAAAGGCTGAGAGAATGTTTTCTCTCTAGGTGACTCTCCTTAGGTGTAATATACATCGTCGATCACTTTCCTCTGTGGCCCCATAATCCCCTTGATCAGAAAATTTGGGACACCACTGAGTTATAGGATGTTACAGTATAGGTTCTCTTATGTCCTGAGTCCTCACTGACCTTGAATGGCTAGGGCCAAAATGTTGGCTTTCCTTGTAGCCCTTCTTTTTTCCTCTAACTTTTGGTCTGCAAACTTATGTTGTTAACCCTCCAGAAGAGAAGATTGGCCCCTAGATATTATGTTTTTACCACTGGGGAATTTCTTGAGTCATTTTGGTAAGGAACATTACAGTTGTCTTTTTTCCTTACCTGAAGAAGCTGAGAATATTAATGAATATAGCAAATGTTAGTTATATTACATAGATATGTCCTTTAATGTCCACCGTGAGGACTGATGAATTGAAACATCTCACAGTCCAAAGTGAGACAGCTCCTTTTAGAGAGCTAAATTTACTGACCAAGGACACCAACTAATATTCTTATCTTCTAATCATTGTTCTTTATTATTAACAGAAAATCAATTTCTTAAGTGTATAATTAGACTTTGGGCTTTCTATATTTTCAGAATAAAAGAGTTTTGCATTTATTTCTTTACCCATTAGCTGTATCTTTATTATTGTTTATCCTGAAAATAAGATTGTTGACATGTATTTTATTTACATAAGCATATAATCTCAAATTATTTATACAAAAATTAACACAATCAGTAATTTACAATGGAATATTTCTGCCTTAAATTGAACTACATTCCTTAGGTACTCAAGCAAGTTGTAGAAATCCATATCTGTCCTCAGTGTGATGTAATTAACCATTATGATATATAGCTACATCATTTGTTTTAATGTGTTCAATTTGAAAAATATGTCATTTAATTCTATACCAATCAGCAATGTCATTAAGGACAGGTCTGATTATAACTAAATTTAATATAGTCCTCTGTTCTTTTCTGTAACTGGATATTTATTCATTTTATTTTTGTTTATTTATTTGGTACAGAGTCTCGCTATGCAACCTGGACTCATAGTCATCCTCCTGCCTGAAGCTCCACACCACTGGGGTTACTGGCGTTCACCACCACACCTGGCTTCAGTGGCTGGCAGGGCATACCCCAGTAAGGCATGCAGTATAAGCAATCAAACCCAGGTCCTGGTGCTTGCCAGGCTGGTGCTTAGACCACTGAGCTCTCTCCCCAGCCCTGGATATTTATTAACTATGTGTTTTGTTTCTGTCTTTTTGAGACAGGGTCTCAAGATACAGTTCACACTGACCTTAAGCTCGCTCATACTCTCTGTGTCATTAAGATTCATATAGTCGTACTGCTACTATGCTAAGTTTTTCAAACAGAAGGGATTTAAAATAGAGGCCAGTGTAAGCATTACAAACTTTTAAAACTCTCAGATAATGATAATGCTGATCATTAGGAAGCAATTGGCATTCATAGAGACAGCTAAACAGAAAACAAAAGGCGTTGACTCAGAATCCAGGTGCACAGAAGGCGTGTTGCACATCTGGATGCTCAGACCTTTCACAAAGAGCATGGTGGACAGAGTGTGGATGAACTGGGTCACCACTGAGCAGCCTGGTCTCCTGCTGGATGTGGGAAAAAGTGCTGAACTAGTAGGCTCTGTGAATATCGTAAGGGCTTAGAGAAACCAGATACGTGGAATGGAA